CTCATTTTTTTTTTTACGTATTCACGCTATTGCAATATTCATTTTTACATGACACATTACATTATTGGTATCTTTAAGGAGTCAGTAAAAAAATTTTTTTAAATAAATATTTACTTCCATTTCCATCTCACCTGTAACTACGCAAAAGTATTTTATTCTCGACAGCTGTGAAACTCAAAACATGTTCAAGACCCTGCAATCTGATCTTTTGAACCTCTTCCCTCAGGAACATGTCGACAAGCAAGTTTTTGATCCTGACGTATTCGTGATTACTCTCAAAAAATTCACCGTTAAAGATCAACAGTGGCTTTATTCCCGAGGTGATCTTCTCAACTTTGAAGTCCTTCAATCCTTTATAATTCTCTACGCCAAATTCTATCATGTCCAATAACGTGTGCTCGTACATTCGACCCATCACAAGATTGTGCGGGCGTTTCTTATTGTGCAAAGCCATCATGAAGAGGGACGCGTTGTACTTGAGCGCGAATTTTTCAATGGGTGTAATATCTTCAAATGGCAGTATGTCATTTTTCTGTTTCATCATTTGCGCATTGGGTTTCTTCAGATCGTACTGGAAGATAATATAATTGATTTGTAATTTAAAAACTCTGTCGAGATTTTCAGAGAATTGGCACAACAAGTTGGAGCGACATCAATGAAAGTTATTGCATGTTTGCTTACCAAATCCTTCATAAAATCAGTGACAATCTGCGACGTGTGTTTACCCCTGAGGCATAAAGCTTCCTTGCCATTTTCCACCAACTTGGGCTCCTTCTTCAATATAGCTTTCTTGCCCCTATGTGTAGTTGGCTTTCTACAAAAGTATATTAGATAAAATTATGATGCATAATGGTATCTACTCATATAACTCTGTATACAATGTATATTACTTTGAATGCGTAATTACGGCGTTAATGAATTTAATTACGTAAATGCACCGAGATACGTGACAATAAATGACTTACGTGATTCTGTCTACAGCAGGCATGACGAAACAATAAATTGATACGCTCTAAATTAAAATCACAATTTAATATTCTTCAGCGAACGAATAACCTATATATCACTCGACTGCACGTGTATGTACGCCATCGCCAGATCCGGAATCGGTCTTTTGCACATGCGCGATGCGCGTGACGTCAGTGACGTATTCGAGAAAAAAAGATGCTCCGGTTTACACCACTTTTATAAAAATTATCTAAGGTGATTCAAGGATGTAAATACTAAACAGTATGAATGTTTTATTTGTTCTTCGTAATTATTCTAACTCATCTTCTCTATTTGCAGAAGATTTTCGCGTTTTTTCATAAGAAATGAAATTATCTATAATAAAAGAGTATTTAAGGAGCGTGTAATATATTGAAATATTCCGAAAATTCTCATTTAACTATTTCTGAAAATAACTGAAAAAGTTGACATTTTTTCAGAATTTTTCATAAATTTAAAAAATAAGAAGCACCAGGGAAGGGCAACTTCGGCTGAACTCCGAATCGACTGTTAAATTAAATATTCAACTGGCAGAATTGCTCGCACCAAAATTCGAGCTATACGATTTGCAGGGAACAAAACTAATCATCTCTCTTCTCATGTGTCAAACAACGAAAAATTAATAATTCCGTTCATTTTAACAAAATGTTATTGCAAGCGACTAAAGTTAATCAGAATTTAATCAAAGTCGCCCAAGAAGGAAATTGTAAAGTCGGGTGAAAGTCGTAGGGGAAAGTAGGAGGTAAACTTAACGCAGGGATTCAGAATAAAGCACTATCCAGCTTGTAGCACATACATTGATTTATTATACGTAGATTGTTCATAGCTTATTGTTTCTCTATTTTTTATAGCAACAGCAAATATACTATAGTTTGGTCAAATTAACAAATGTTTTATTTTTTCTCCAATCTGCCGCCGATGTGATTATCCACGTCGCTACACCGGATATAACGTGAATAATCGAGCCGCGATTTACATCATTGGCAGGTTGTGACACCCGGAGGCCCGTTCAATCATCCGGGCATGATGGCCTCCGCTCAAATTTGGTTGCCAGTGGATTTAAGTTTCATCTTTTCTTTTTTTCTTTTTTTTTTTATAGTCATTTTTCATAATCGAAGACAGCCACAAGAGAGGTCTAGTTAGATAATTAACTAAGTTTCACACAGCGCGTACTAAAAGCGTACTAAGAAAGTCCTATCGGTCCTCCCACGGTCACCTCTCCCACGTATCAAAGGTACGCGCTGTTTCCCCCCGCTTTTTCATTTTTTGTTTGTTTGTCTTGTTTTGTTAAACGTTTACACGAAACAACGCAATGTGTACGTAATTCAAAAGAGTCCCCTTTTCCCTCCCCCCACCCCTTTTTCCCGAAGAATACTCTTAACGTTAAGAACCCCCGCCCCCTCCCGCTCCCACCCCCCCCCGCACTACTTTCTCTCACGTCCGGCGCATTAAATGCCATCGCGATTAACTGGCGAATCCGTCTTATATGTATAGTCCCTACTTTTATAATATATTATGTACAATTGTTTTGGCACCGAAGTTGTCTTGTCTTTTTCACTTTTCTCTCTTTCTTTTTCTTTGCTCTTCCTCCAAATCGCACCGATGCCAGCGAAGATCCAACGTGAACGTATGTGCGTCCGTGTGTGTCCGAGAGCGACATCAGGTAAAAGGTATTTTCTCTTATTTTTTTTTGTCGTTACTCGTCTCGGCGATCGCTCGGTGATCAATGATAGCACTCGATGACTCGTGCGCGCCGGTACACCAAGGATCGAGGACCTTGGAAGCTCGAGAAAACAGTCCGTTTGTTTAAAGCATCTCTCTCGAAGAAGAACAGATCTGTCCCCGTGGTTCGTCGCCCGTCACGAACGCCCCAATTGCCCTCCGTCTCTCCCTCGTCTTTCCTTTTTTGGCATGGTTTATAAATATACATATATCTCTTCGCGTTTCCACCCCTTTCCGCCGCTTCGTGTTACAGTGGAATGTGTGCGGCATCACCGAGCTTTCGTCGTTTACAGGAGCCTGTCAGAGCCAGTGAGGTGGTGTCAGTACATTGCCAATCCGACTCTCTTGACATTTTGTGTAACGCGATTCCTTTCGTTCGCTTTTGGCGCGATCCCATGATACGGAACGCTCGTAATTAGTTCGACCGTTTTTTTTTTACGTACGTTCCGCCAATTTCTATATCCACAAGTTTATATTTTATCCGCGATGATTGTACGGAACTACAATCTGGAGCCGAGTGCAAAGTGAAATAGGTTCGCGAACAACGTACAATCATGTTTAACAATGACTAGTTCGACCAATGTTAATAATGCTTCAAATAATTGAGGTGCCATTCTAAAATTATAATCCGCATATATTTCCCTATCTTCGGGGCCAGCATTTTCTTCACAAGATTCTCACTTGCCCCTTATAATAATATTTTTTCCATGCTAAATATATAGATCGCATCCAATAGTTTCGTTATTTTTTATTTTTATTTCTTTTCGCGATTATATATAATGAGCATAACTTTACAATTTTTTACGGCGTAATTCCTGCTTTTTAAGCACACACCAACTTTGTTTCAATTTATATACAATAACCCGCAAATGACAAACAATTTTTCAGAATTTATATTGTTGAACGTTAGCAATTGTTGACAGTTTCATAGGCTGACATTCACCCGTCACATTCATGAATTCCATTGACGGGTGAATGGAATTCATGATGTGTGTGATACCGATTCGCATAAGTTTCGTATTTCGCAGATATTCCGCCAATTGCGCTCCGCTAAAATGTATTTTCCAATTGTTCCATGTAGAGGAAAACGCGAAAGCGCAGTATGTGTGCGTGTCAATAATATATATACACTGTTCCGATAGATATACATAATGAAGGAATCTGTGGGAAGGAATCTTGTGACTGAGAGACATGCGCCAATTGCGCTTCCGCGAGTTCCGCTTCATGGGACGTTAAGAAAACACATTTCGGCAGCGGAATGTCCGCGGACGGACTTCGTTCCGTCACAATTCCGCATTACACATACGTTCCGTGTACCATGGGATCGCGCCATTACATTCCTCGCCGCGGAGACGGATCGGCAAAGCGCTTAGCCCGCAATGCGGTCTTATCGTTTACGAAAGTTTACATTAATTTTCTTCTTTTTTTTTTACCTTCTTCTTAACCGTATCCTAGAAAAAAACTGACTGCCACTGGTTCTCAGCGAATTCCAGACTGCCCAGCAGTCAGACATACATAACAATTATCACAACTTAATACCGTAATACTAATACAATATTATGTAAATATATTAATATTTAATCATAAATATTCTTTATATATATATATATATGTATATATATATATAATATATTATTAACAACTGACGGTCTGTGTTTCTATATCATGCGATACACACGTTTCGTATCGTAATACTGCAATAGATCGGTAGAATACCATACGAAACGTAATATGCACTACGATCTCCTTCCCTCGTCCCCGATTACCAAGCTTGAAACGTAAATGGAAAACAACGTAGTCGTAAGCACGCGTAAGCGTGTCCAACTTTTCCTTTCGTTACTGCTGGTTAATGTACGTGTATGTGTGGTAACGTGTGTTACTGTGTTAAAATCTATTATAATTTTACTAAAAAAATATCGATCGATAAGAGCTACGTATGGTGCTAGAATTATTTAACATTTAAAAATGAGATCTAGTTTCATTTTCTATTAATGTAAGAACAAACATTAAGAATCATTGAGTCGATAATGGATCTTTATGCTGTATTATATGTGTGTCCGTGTATCTGAAAACCTTATCTATCCGTCCCCTCCTGCTTCCACGAGTGTTTTTTTTTTCTTCGCGTTGTAAGTTGTAAGTACTTATGTTAAGTTCGTACAGCGCGAACGCCGTCGGACGATTTCGAGGCCGATTTTGTTTTTTTGTTACGTACGCTAGTCGATCAAGTTCTCTATAACGTGGCTACGTGCCCTGCGTCTACCGCGTCAACGTGTTCGATCACTTTCACATAATGTTTGTTCACTCAGAAGATATCTTCGTCCGGATCGCTCGATGGTGCAGCCTGAAGCGCCAACTGCATGCTGGATTCCGTGTTACGCCGCTTCATTTTACCCTTAGTCTTCTTCAGCATCGTAGCCTAGGAAGGGACAGGATCAGGGAGCGCACAAAGGAGCAATCGATATAAAAATTGTCAGTCAATACCGCTGACAAAGTAGAAGTAGTGTATAAAAGTAGAAGTAGAAATAGAAAAAAATGGAAATTACAAACTCATGGTTAACTTATATACGGTGGAAAAAGAAGGTAGAGAAGAAAACGTTTTGTAAAGCTAACACTACTATCCGATAATATAATGCGTCTAATCCACACATTACAAGCTCGAGCTAGCTGCATTGGATATCGAGGCATCGAGAAAGGTATCACGGAAGTTGATATCGGTTTTAACATGCATCAACAGAGGGATCGGGGGAAGTTTCCTTTCCTTTTTTTCTTTCCGTATAGATGGAATCGTTTTTAGACGGCACGTTTATCACCCCGAGACTCCCCTCTCGCGCGTGCGTTTCGCTTATGCGCGTCGAGGAGTCTAGGCTGTGATGTCGGCGCATCTTACGAGATACGTTTAAACGATCGAGCAGTTGTAAGTTGTGGTATAGTTGGATTACTCGTCCGTGCTCTTGCCCCCCTCCCCATTAGCAGGTAGAATCGACGGTTCGGTATTGCGACGCTTGATCTTACTTTTCTTCAACATGGTAGCCTGAAGTGAACAAAGGAACAAGGAGATATTAGTAGAGTGCAATTAGGGGAGGAAAGCATGCGCTGATAGGTATCAGCAATCAGGTTACGCTTTTACGGTGAATACGTAGAGTATTGTAATATAGAACGAAAAGTGCTACAAACTAATAAATAGGAATGCGCCTGTTAAGAAGTTTTTTACGTGCCACAAGAATATACGCCCCATTATTCTACTTAAACTCGAACAGCAAAGGAATCTAGTTTATTACGTTTCAAGAACATAGAAATATATATCAACAAATTAATAAACGGCGATACGAGTCAGGCGCGGTACGTGGTGCGCAAGTAAAGAAATTAATAGTTACAGAAGTAACGAATTACAATGTATATAATGTACATATACATATATTTCAACTTAATTAACTACTAATTTCTTTACTTACGCACCACGTACCGCGCCTGACTCGTATCACCGTTTATTAATTTGTTGACATTTTCACGAGTCCAATGACATATTTGAATAGAAATATATCACTGCACTAATATCGAGATATCACGTTATCGTGTGTAGTAAATGATATATTGTACGTTACGATTCTGTCCGTTATTTTTGTGGAATTATGGGGGAGTTTTGTAAGAGCTCTTACGTCAAAGTATTACCTTGAGTGCTGATTTCAAGACCACGATGTCTCCCGGACTCTGAACCCACGGTTCACCGTCTACTTGTACAGGTATGTCTGAGTTTAAGTGAATTTTTATGTGCCCGCCCTATCGACCGAAATGCAATGACGAATAAATTTATATATGTCGCATCAGGAAGGAAAGACAGGGAGCATCTGTATTATTGATTAATTTTATAATTTACCTGCGCTATCCTCATAGCCGTACGTAAACCCGACTGTATTTGTCCAAGATGCATAACGCCTGTGACCCCGACAACTTCCAACATGCCATCCCAATGATTTGGTGTATAAAATTGATCTTCTTTGGTATCTGGTCCCCAAGGATTAGCACCAGAACCCCAACTAGACGAGAAAGAAAAGCACCGTTTAAAATAACATATAAAACATCCTTCCTATTTTATAACGACATGCATTCTCTATAGTCTATAGTTACCTTAAAATGTTCAGAATTATTATTCCTTCCACTTGTGGTAACTCGACCAATTTGCCGTCTACTTCTAATCGAATTTCTTTATGTAAATCTTTGCACGGTTTACGCCTGACCATTTTACGCAAACCCATCGTTACATACACGCCTTTATTTCGTAATCTGCTTTTGAACTTGTTAGGATTTTCCTCTCTCGCGTTATGAAAGTCCAGACACAAATCTGCATCGATGCCAATGCCAAAATAATTATTCATTACGTATATTTGCGTATTGTCTTCGCTAGTTGTACCAGAGCCTGTAATATGCAAATGGCGCGATGCTACTTGCTGAGAGGCTGTAACATTTTCGCCATTAGAATTCTCCTATTTAAATTACTGGTTTGCGGAGTTATTAAGAAACTTATTACCTGCGCCTCTCTTACCTGCAGCGTTACAAACTACTTGAGTTGTTTCCTTCTCATCTGGATGAAAAACTACGGTCCACCTATCCAATATTATTTCTTCCGCATCGATAACGTCTCGCAACAAGTTTAGTGGATCTTCGTCACCCGTGTAGCCTGAACCCCAACATAGTACGCGAGCAAGGTCGTTTCCCGTTCCCAAAGGTACAATAGCGCAAGCGGGAGAAGAACATTGGCTATCCTGACCAACATTATCTAAACATTGTAATACCCAACCTATCGTTCCATCACCACCACAAACTAATATTTTGTAGTCCTTTATGTGACGGAAAACGTAAAGTCTGCAACACAAAGAAAGCACTTACTTACTAACTTGCGTAAAATTATATCATATGTGCTTCGGACTGTAATAAATATGATATTATTTAAAGCATTATGATCTACTTACCCGGGGAGGGGTCCGCCATTATCAAGATCGAACACTTGATAAGGATTTAATAGTTTACGAAAACTAGTAATTAGCTGGAGTCCTTGGCAACCACCAGATTTTACATTTACAAACACGAGCAGCGGTTGAACGCCCGTTGGTATCATACTTGGCTCGATACTCGGTAAAATCATTACTTGTAAAAAAAGAAAAGATGAGAGAATATTTCAATATATATCTTATTACAACTAAAAAGCTAAATAAAAAAAGCATGCAAGTAACTGGTACCATGTCAATGAATATCTATTTTGATATTGATCGATATTATACTTTCTCGCGTCTGATACATAAAAATATAATTAAAAAAAAAAAAAAATATATATATATATATATATATACATAATAAAAATACCTAAAAGAAGTTTGTCTTCACATTTTGTCTCTCGCAACGTGTATAGTGCTCTAACCGCTGTATCCTGATCTTCATATATGATAACCACTGAACCATATTCGTAATAAATTGGGCCAATTGATGAAAACCTATTTTCTACAAAATCCAAAGAATTATATATATAAATAGATATTTTTATAATTCTGTAAATTATAGTTAATTTTTTCATTAAATCACCAACCTTTTCCTAAAAATTCTGTTAACATGTTTTCGTAACTTCTTTCAGAAAGATTTTGTGGTAGGTTGCCCACGAATAAAGCCAAATTAGGTCCATGGGGATCTTGCTTTAGTTGTAGATAAAACCGCATCAGTTCCATTTGTCTAATAGAATCTTTTCCCAGCTTTTTAATGATATCCCAGGGTCTTTCATCCCAGGAACAAACTCTTTCCGTTACTAATAGAAATAAAACTTTTATATTTTTCGTACGACGCACAAAACGGAATTTTAAAGAATATTCGATTAAATTGCAAACGTCAAGTTGAACAAAAACTCGAAACGTACCACCACGGTCTAAAAGAATTTCACTGCACCTAAAGTCATCACAGTTAAAATTTTGTAAGCCAAACTTTTCCAGTGCCTCGTTTATTAAGTCTGCGACGGTTGTTGCTTCGGTGACAGGTACTATACAGAATGACTCTGATACCTGCAATCTGCCGGGATAAACTCGTACTTCTCCGCTGTCGTTATCTCTGAAATTATATTGTAATTACGTTGTATGAAGAAATTTTTTTTTTTATTTACTTTTAATACAGATATCGTACAACTTCTAATATATTATTCGTCTTTCACCGCATTTTGTTATATTAAAAATTGTACAAAAATAAAATATTCTACATATTTTCTTGTATTAGATAAGTGTAGTGTAAACTTACCTAAATCGCAAGAACACAGCCGGACGTTTGCCTTCTTTGCGATTTAAATTTAAAACAGGCGTTGAGTCACATAACTCAGTTTCCTCCTCAGCATACAGGTCAGTTAAGTAAAAGTTGCCTGAATTTTCCCGAAAAAAGAGTTTATTAGTTCAATTAGTCAATTTATCGAACAAGATCCATATTTATTATGTTAAATAAAATGGTCCGTATGCACATACTAGGATCTTTCGTGATGTGAAATGCACGCAGTGCCGATGTGAGAAACTGCTCTATCGTAGCCTGCCTAGGTACCGAAATTACTCGAAATATTCTCCGCCTCAAGGAATTGTTGCCATCGTACACCTTAATCATCTCTGTATGAGAATAATATCAAAGTCACCGATTAAAATAAAGAAAATCTGGAAACTATTATTCGGAAGTTATATTGAAATACCTTCGTCACCTCTTTCTTTGTCTTCTTTCTCTTTAGGAGAACGCGGATCACGGCCATGCGCTGCACCCTGTGTCGGTTCTCCATTGTCACGATACCTTGGATCGCTACCAAATTCTTCTGATATGCTCCGCGCTATTAACACAAAAAAAGATCACACTTCGAATGTTAGTATATTATTAACAGAATACAAAAATACCTAAATGTAATAGAATATTATTAATATGGAATACAATAAATACCTAAATGAAACATAAAATATCTGTATATGTATGTATAATACATCTTCTTCCGCATTCAAATTGAGAAAATGTTTCATTTTTTTTACTCAGATAACATTAATGGTGTCTCTCTTGAAAAGCGTTATAAAATATTTTATATCATAAAGCAATAAAATTTAATGCAACGTAAAACATTATCCTGTAAGCAACACTTTTATCATTAAATTACCATATAATTTATTTATAATTTATTAATTTTCTCTTAATTGTGGAAATTAATTGTGGAAGCAGTGGCGTGTAACCACCATTATATACAAATATTCGAGAAAGATTTGCATGAAACAGATACTTTAGGAAAGTACTCTAAGGAAAATATATAATGAATAAATTTCAGAACATTTTATAAACACAAAGAGCGTTGTAACGACTCTGTTTATCATTCAAGAATAAATTACATCTCTTACCATCGATTATTTACGATGGGTTTGTAGAACACAGACACGATAGGAAGAATTAGTCAGTAGTATTCTTGAACTTCATTTCACTGCATAGTAGAGTGATAAGCGTCATGGAATCTCATAGCATCCAGTGGGCTGAATGACAGTGCATGCACTGAAGCGAGACATACATACATGCTAAAACGTAAACAGTAACAAAATAACATCTATAAAAAAAAAGGTTGGTGCACTATGATATTTATGTAAATGCATGTCGTGTGACAGTTTATTACAGATATTATAGATAATGCAATTTAAACAAATCTATTTTGAAAAATATATCATCGTTTCCTATTTTTTAAATTAATTTCACGTGAATAGTATTACTTTGCTAATATTCACATTTGTTTGAGTCAAAGAATTTCATATAAGAGAGAAAAATAATTTTATGAGAAATTGTCTATCAGAAAATTAGCTCAACTGTACTTTAATAAAATGTATTTATTTCTCTGCATAATGACTTAAATATAGACGTAGTAAATGTGATTCGAGTGTTATATTTTATTTTTCTTATTGCGTTTATATATTGCGTTTATATATGAAGTTTGTATTTGTGTTTATGTACACACATATTAATGTGTAAAAGGCAGTAAAAAGTGTCACTCGGTAATGTCGAAAAGTATGACAGAAGCAAGCTAAATATTCGCATCGCTGTTATGCAAAATAAAAAAAAATATAAATATATAAATAAATATGATTGTCTTTTAATACAGCGCTTTCTCAATTCTAGCTGCAAATGTCGAATAAGTAGTTACATGTAGAGATAATAACAATAACGATCACTACAGCGTATTTCAAGTTACTCTCAGTCTCGTGTACGATAAGTACATCTTAGAATTGAGTACATTCACACAGATGAATGTCTGACGATGATAATATTCTAGATACCTCGAACATAAGGAGGGGAAGCATGACAATTTCCATGGCAGCTACGTGGCAAAACTAGCGAAAGACGCCTCAAAGCTTCGGCTAGGCGGCCTGCAGCCCCGTTTTGTTCACTCTCAGCGAAATCGAATTGCTCTCCGATGTTATCTTCACATAGAAGCAAAGATAGACCGAATATTTTAACGGTTATCACAATTTCAAATCTATAAATTTTATCTCTGTTTAAGTAGTTCGTAATACTCTATTGTGACTTGTGTTTACTCTCCCTCTCTTTCTTTTTTTCTCTGTCCGTTAATTGTAAGTTTGCTTAATTATATACAAAGACTTGTTTTCTTTGACATCGAACAATTAATGACACACCTAAGGCTTATGATTATAAAAATAAAATGTTATTACTTTTAGCTTTTAGTTTGTAAACGCCAATTCTAATTATACTATCTAATTACGAAGCTCTATGAAATAGGTGCTGTATCTATTAAAATATATTATGCCTATTTAAAAGCACATTAAAAGTAGCAATTATAATAAGAGCAACCAGCCACAAAAGCCATAGTTTACAAATATATTTTGTAAACAAAATATGTAATTAAAATATATATAACAAACGTAGCTTTTAACGTTGCTTAAGAAGGTTTGTGTGATTATAAATCACAAAAAATTTTATTTGTATAGTTTAATTTTCACATAGTGCGTTCCTCATGATCCTAAACCCCTGGCACGATAAGAAACAAACATTTTGGAAATCTTCACCTACTTCGCAATTGACGATACGAGACTCACGACAAATTCTCAGGTGGCATATTTGATGATAAATGATTGAATCATGAATGTATTATGATGATTGTACAGCAGTCACACTTTCTATAATTCATAAATTCATTTCTAATCCCTGCATCTAGCACACATTTGCTATGTAAAGATTATTGCTGTAAACCATAAAAATATCTCGTAATATTTTTTCACATTATTAACTCAATTCCCTTTCTCTCTATAAAAAAAATCAATGTTTATAATTTAATAACTTCTTTTAAAAAAAATCGTATTGCAGAAATGTATGGAAAGCTGAGAGTGTAAGAAACTGCAAGTAGCAAATATATAGATACATATATATATTTTATATGACATATTAAAAATATCAAATTGACTACAAAAATCTGACTACCGATAATATTCGACATAGACGTAGTTTTTCAATCAATTTATGATACAACGGAACAATGAAAATTTAAGGCAATAATAATCTTTTAAAATATAGATAGGGTCTTTCTCGATTCATATCGAAGAAAGTCAACGTTGCATGCTCTGAAAAGAAGGAAGAACATGTATATGTTTACAAAACCGACGGTTTTATACACGCGTGAGTGAATGCTAAAATAATATCATGCAAAAAGTTTATGTTCCAAAAAATTACTTATATTTTTTACAAGTACCTCTCTACTAATGTATAAGGAATACTTTTTAAGATATATTATACATTCTTTTTTTTTCAAACTTTACATAGTATACGATATCTTTTGCTACCAATCATCAGTGCATATTTGCATACATGTACATGTGCTATGCATAGTAAAAATAGAAAATCTCATACATAGGTATATGAGAGACAGTGTGAAAATAATTAATTGTGTCAATAGGTAATACGGAAATGCTGAATGATGGATTGAAAAAACTTCATAAAGCGCTAATCAACAATGAAATTCACAGTGCACACAATGGGAAACGCGATAATTTATACAATGTCCAATTATATAAACGGAGCAGCTCAAGCAAAAACTCTCAACGTCATATTTTTGCCATTATTTGTTATCTGAGCTTAATATATCGATATCACTTGTTTAGAGACACGTAGGATCTCGTAATCCAAAAGTGATTATGTCTACCGCGATTACATATACACACAAAATTATATAGTTATGCTATATATTTATAGACAACCATGTGCATTAGTAATTATCAACGCGGGCATGTGTTTTATCGATTACAGATACAGTTTAATTTACAGCATTGACATCTCTAAATAGCTAAATTATTCAATTTTATTAAAATCTCTGTATCTCGCCTTAATCTCACTCTTCTTTTTCCGTTATAAGAGAATTGCTTTAACATTCAAATTTTATTCCTGGCGGGATTGATTAAAAAAATATTGAAGTGCTTTGCGGCACGTGACAAAGCGCAATTCCTCATTCTATTATTCTAATTACCTGTTAACACGCACATTGTAATTAACACGGCAGACACTTACGGAAAGAATACTCACGCGCCAGCACTTCTTTACGACGCACTTCTACTCCAATGATGGCTTCCATGGGAACTTCGGTACGCGGAATACTAACTGCATGTGGCGGCAGGTATATTGGTTCCAAGTTACCAAAGGTGCATTCTTGGGGAATATTCTTGTAACAATACGCGTGCGACTGAGAGACGAAATCAAATTTGTCATTAAACACTATTTTAACTAGGAGACGAGGGGAAAGGGAAGCTTTAATCGTGCTAACGAAATATATGCTTTCTTTCTCTATTCGTAAGAGCATTATGTATCACATTTGACTTGAAATGACTAACATAAGTATCAGCAATGCAACATAATATTTAATTCTAATTCTAATTCCGCTGACGGAACAGAATAAATAATCGCCCAAAAAAAAAGTTAAAGGCGATCTAACGGCGATAATAATGAATCTTTCTTTTACCGTCATGCCACACCACTCGCAACGAAACCCGGCAAGGCACTCGGCAGTAAAACAACTCTTCTTGCATACGGCACATTTCGAGCTGCTCGGAAGATTGCCTTCCCGCCAATGATGAGTGTGCCTCACTGCTGACAGATCCTTCCCAGGTATGTATGTGACATTCTCCTTGCAGTCTGCCACCGCGAAGTCTTGGCATTCTACGTGCACGAAGTACTCGCATACTACGGGAAACGTAGAGCGCGATTAACATTTCGCAGAAACCCAAATATGCTAAACGCCCTATATCGAGATATCTCGTATATCTGTTATCTATGGATAGAAGGCTTACTTTCACAGTGTATGCATAGATTATCATCCAATCGTTTCCGACAGACGTTGCAGAATTTCCTTTTGCGATGTACTTGTTCGGACCAACAGTGTGCAACCGGGTTCTGCAACACGTACAATAAAGAAACGCTGTTAATCTTACATTTTGTATTAACACTGTTAAATTCATAGCGTCAAATTACACTCAATTTCAATCATTTTTAACCATTCCTACAGGTCGCCACCGCTCCTACTCCAATATGTCGCTAATTTAATTAAAATAATGTTAATCTAACTAAAAACTAACGGTGTTAAAATAATAAATTTTTTGACACGCATAGTAGTTAATAGTAACAACATGTTGTTTAACTCAAAGGTATTGGTCGAAACATTCTTTAATATTTAATAGTGAAGGGTCCCAAGGGAGGGTCCCATCAAGAAGTTCGGACACGTAAACGCGCGGCAACAAGCGAGTAACTTCTCGACGTTCCCGTTCAGTCTCTTTTCTCTCAACTATAATCCACGTAAATTATTTTATCGCAACGTTCAGTTTATTTTACGATGTACCTGGGAAGGTTGCTTTCCTATATTCTAAGTATAGGCGTTATATTTATGCACAGGCGGTTATAATCCTCGCGCGGCGTGGAGACGGATCTTCTCCCGTTGTCTTACCTTAATCAGGCTTGCCGCGATGCTGGAGCAGGGAGAGACGACGGCCTTGAGACAGCGGTCGTGCACCACGAAGTTACACACTGCAACGAGAGGAAGAAAAAATGAGAAAGAGAGAACTTTTTGGAAATTCGCGGGGAGAGAGAGAGGAGGGGGGAAAATTCGCGCGAGATTAATTGCGTTAAATCGAAGAGCGTTACCGGCTAAGCGGTGTACACTTTAGCATAAATCAATACGAGCCGCTCATGTCGTAATTTATAACAAGATCTTCTGACCTTTCGCGGTGTAAGTAAAAAACATCGAGAATCATACGCGGCTGGCGTTATTTAACGCCTCTACCGAACGGCAAATATGTGAGCGGCGGTCTACCAAACTTCTGCAGAAACCAAAAAAAAATTTATATACATATACTTGTTTAGAAAATCATCAGGTCTGTTAACGCCTTGCGGCGTTCTCTTTGTTCTCCTAAATGTTTTCTAGAAGAAGATAACACGCGCTTCGAAAATATAACATAGATTCCGTGAAGTTGATATTATAACTGAAGATAACACGCGCTTCTAAAATATAACATAGATTCAGTGAAGTTGATACTACGAGTCTGTTAATATTATCGATTGCAAATTTTAGGGTCAATATCGTGAGCGCCGTGTTATTCCGGCGGAGTGGCCCCCGGAGTAGAGTCGCGCGCTGAAAGTGAAGAATCGCTTCGGCAATTTCTCCGGTGAATTGATATATTTCAGGGTCGGCCGAGGTGACGGAGTCGGAGACAGCGTCATCCGCGTATCCGTCATCCACTCCGATACAAGGTGACGGGTGTCGCACGTTCCCCTGTCGCGCGCGCGAGCGGTAATGATCGCGCCTTCTATCGCGCTGCTCTTGCCGACGCTAATCAGGCAAGATGTGGGAAATTTGTCGCATCGGCGCGCAGGTGCGGCCCGAAATAGTACTGTGCATCCGCTTCGTTAAGAAGGCGCCATCAGCCGCCATCGACGATCGACCGTCGTTCCACGAATGCCGAGTTAACTTTAACTCGCCGAGTGGGCAGCTCAAATCGAAAAGAAGAGGTACTCGTCATCGCCGTAGAAAAAGAGGATCCGCGTCCGTTTACTTGTGCCTCTTTTGCTCGTGTCTTTTCAACGGTGTCTTCCGTTAGCGAATCGTAAAAGATATACGACGCGCTAGAACTCGAGAAACGTTCACGTTTAACGAACGTTCCAGGCAACATTTAAAATCCGTTCTAGGCATTTGCAATGTTTAAGATCCGTTTGAGACATTTGCAACGTTTAAGATCCATTCCGGACATTTATCATGATTAAGGTCTATTCCAGTAGGCATTTGCAACGTTTAAAGTCTATTCCGGGATTTTGCAATGGTTAAGATTTGTTTCAGGCATTTGCAAAGGTCTATTCCAGATATTTGCAATGAATGGCAATGATTAAGATATGTTTCAGGCATTTACAATATTTAAGATCTGTTCCGAGATTTTGCAACGCTTAAAGGGTTACAGTACTTTAATAAAAGTAGCAACATCTTTTTGCGCCAGACGACGCATGACGGCAAGACCAACTCCTAAGTAAATCTTAATTACGATTAAATGCTTCTGGGCCAATTTTAAATCCTCATACAATGTATTAGGTTGTCCCAAAGTTCATTTCCTGTTTTATGCGTCCGACTTTATTAGCAACGGGAGAGCAGACATGTAGCTCGGTCGATCTTTATTAATATTTCTCGGTCGGCTCTTTATTGATATTTTGATGTTCGTCTATCTTTTAACTTTCCAACAGTTACGTTTGTTCGCTCAAAAAAGTGTCTCGATCTTTTTTTGTGCGTTCTGAAAGATAAAGAACCAGCAGAGAGATTTGATTCTCTTTGGTTCCCAACAAGCTGCTAGCGTTTAATTTTGGAATGTTCTATTTCATCCTCCTTATACTCCTTACACTTCGCCCATTTTGACTACTACTTGCACCTTTCTTTAAAAAATTCTTTTGTCATAAAAAATGTGGCTCTTTAAATGACATTAACATTTATCTCGATCAGTATTTTTTCAGTAAATTAAAAACTAAAAACATTTTTTAAAAATAACATGAGGCTTTTATGACAGATGAAGGAAGGTGGTAGAGTAGAATGGTCCACATATACTTCAATCCATTATAAATTAAAAATTTTGCATTAATTTCTAGTAAAAAAAAAAAAAAAGCAAAAAAAACTTTTGGAACAACTTAATATATCATATGCGGTTTTTAAATCGATCAGCCCTTTCTATGCAGCTTGTCTCAAATCACTAACAATAAGTTGGAACTGAATTTCAGTGAATTTCATAAATCAAGAACTGAATTGTATAAATTAACTGTAACTTTATTTAGTAATCAACAAAATAGAATAGGTGTTTGCAGGCAATCACAGACGAAACAATAACGGCATTATTAAAATGTAGCGTGATACAAGTAAAGAGCAAAGGTAATAATACTGGTGTAAGGGCTCAGTCACAATGAGAAAAATAAGGAATAAGATAAAGGAATAAGGAATAAAGGAATGTCGCATCTCACTTTAGTACACGTACATTAAAGTGAGATGCAACTTGCCTTATTCCTTATTCCTTTATCTTATTCCTTATTTTTCTCATTGTGACTGAGCCTTAACGTAACTGTTGTCATTTATTTCAAGAATCAACGCGCATAGACCAAAGAGAAGTTAAAAAGGGAGGAAGAAGGTAAAAACGATGACATTTACAAATGATGTCCCAAATCGATCGGCCCTTTCAATGCAGCTTAGTAATGAAATTCAGCTTAGTGATTTGAGACAATCCTTGCCCTACAGGGAAGCTCGCTTAAATTTATCCCTGACTGAGATTTACTTACGAGTCTTACTGTCATGCGCCGATTAGCACCGTCGCGTCGTTGTAAACTGGCGCGAAAAGATGCGTTACTACTAACTTACCAAAAACTGCGTATCAACGCATTGTGGAATATAAAATACGGAATGGAATATAGAAACAGAATTTCCGACGCATTGGATTTTTGTTCTCTATTGCCTGTATCTGATTAATCACAGTTTTTCAGTTTTATTATAAGTTGAAATGGAGTTATTTCTGTCGCCTGGCTTATTCCCTGTTCCTATTGCCCGTACCTTTATATTGTGTTCAAACCTTTACTTCTGTCAGGGTCCTATAACTTCAGGTAACTTCCTAAGATCTGTTCCAGGCACTTGCAACGTTTAAGATCTGTTCCAGGCATTTTCAACGTGTTAAATCTTGATCCGAATTCCGGCATTCTTTGACGCACTTGCAGTTATACACGTGACATGGTCGCTGTGCGAGCAGTTATGCAAATCTATCCTGATAGGCCTTTAATTTATGTATACATGCATACTCAACCGTGAATTTTACTATGTTTATATCAACGTTCATCAACCAATGCAAGCCACCATTCGGCTACTCGAATATACAATCATGAGCGACAAAGCTGAAGCGTTGAAAGAATAAATAAGATGAGAAATAATTCTTTGGAGATAATAGAGAAAAGAAAGGAAATCAATGCGATATATATCGTGATTTAGAAAGATCTTTCTGAGACTCTCCGAAAGATTGCTGTGTGTTTGAGTTTCCAGATCTGGAATCTATTTGTTGCCTTAGCTATATTTCGAGACCTTTTTCTTTCTCCTTAGGAACAAGCTTTTACTCTGAACGCGCGAGAAGAGAAAAAAAATCTACTTGTCGGAAGTCTCTATCGATGTTGATCTCGTCTACATCGAGTTCGAGAATTGCTGAAAAATTAGACTGAAAAAAACAGCACAAACGCGGACACATGCGTTAAATCGTGCGTTCCTGGAAAAAAAGAGAGAGAAAAGAGAAATCCCCTTACATTCCATTAATTCCTCGGTAATCATATAATAATCTCGAGTACGGCGGGTATCGGTTTTCAATATACAGTATTAGGTGATCACTTTGGGACTCTCTGCATGCTTTTATTACTCGATTAGCTTTCGGAGCAGGTGGTCGTCCTATTTATAACGATCCCGATCGATCAGTAACAGCGTGATAAGTTAACCAAAATTGCCTTGGCCTAAGATTGTCGTGCTTTTGAAGAATCTGCTGCTTTCGATGCTGCGCGAGAGAATGCCGTCGCGATTGTCCCTCGAATCTAAACGTTTTCTGTATCAATGTCGGCGATCGGGTCTCCGACTGTATTCCTATATAGCAGTCTTATCTATTATAATATTGATCGTCTACGCGACTGCGTTCCCTTCTATACGCAGTTCTTTTACTTATACAGAGGAAAGAACATATAAAACCCGATTGACAGAAAATGTATGTGCGCGTTAATTAATATGTATCGCAGATATATTACGTTTCTCCCGTATGAGATATTTCCGCAGAATAAACACATACATCTAAAGCGATGCGATGAAACTGCAATGTAATGCGACACTTTAGATTTTCATGCATTCAATATATGTGATATCGTTGTGATGCCACGATACATATGATATCTTTAATGGACGATTTTACAAACAGCGCTTTTACTCGCCGCGCAATCAATTATCATTGTTTAGAGAAACATTACCCGAAAATAGTAAAATAAAAAGGGTACACTGCTCTCTTGTACGGTACACATAAGAAAACGTATGACAGAATATGCTGTTAATCTATCTGGTAAACGCAATATCTATACGCATTATTAACGAAGAACATCAAGCAGTTAAACTGTTGGAAGATCTTGCGAGGGGGAAGCTGAATGATATCAATATTAGCTAAGATTGTGGCTTCTTAAGTGTGTAGCATCGTCTTCTAGATTGATTGATTATAAGTTGATGATCAGTGCATCTCTCTCGCAAACTTACTTTTTGTACACCTAAATTCAATCAGTTTTTCGAGCAGCTTATTCTATTCTCTTTTGTTTCCCTGGACAAAGTGTACGCAAAATGAAATTAATATCTCTAATTTTTCATAAGCAAATGTCGTTTACACAATAATTCAAGAAAATTATTCGTAAATTCAATATATATTTAAGTATATAAATAATAAATATATGACTTATTTCATTTTTTTCTCAATTTCGAATAAATTATGAATGATTCGAAGGCTAGTTTTCTGCTTTAATAATGTTTTGAGCTTGTATCTGATTAACGATTACGCAGATAAAATAAATATAATAAAATAAATTCATGTGTCACTTAGGGCTCCATTCATGAGCCAAGATGCTGTGGAAAATATACAAATTGCTGGGAAGGCAGAATGAATGAACTAAATAAAAATTGCTGCTATTTGCTCATCATGCCAGATATAATGTGTGTGATAAACTCAATATATGGGTTATTTTCAAAATATACTTAAAGAATCATGATCGTGATACTGTTATTCAGTTATTCAAAGACATTCATATTTCTTTCAATGTTTATTTCGCGTGAGTAGTATAATACATGTCCTCTCTTTAATCTTGGTTTCCAAGTTTTTTACATAATCTCATATATGTGCATGTTTACAGTTCCCGCGGATATGTGTCTTAAAAAGAAAGATTCACGAGGAATATAATTGCAGCATTTTAATTCGTTAATCTGAAACCGAGTGTGAAACACAATATTACTTATTATTGAAATCAAATATATGTATAATTCATATTCCTACTGTAGTTGCTATCCAAACGTAATAGTTGAAGATTAACCAATACACAATCGAGATACTGAAAAAATTAATATCGCATCGTATGTGCGATTGTTGCATCGAGATTAGAAGATTTAGGAAGATAAACGTCTTTTTCGAATTACAATTGTATTACTTATTTATCATTATTATGTTATGCGTTATTTAAAAAAAAAGGTGGTCATAAGCAAAAGATTACTTCACCTTATATACATTACAATTTGTTTTTAAATCGACATAAAAAGTTATTGTTAGGCGCTATTCTCATTTTTAATATCATACTGCACAGGTTTTAATGTTCACTACCGTTATATAACATTGTTACAAATGATTTGTTACGCGAATCGGGATGTCATGCATATGTGACGCGTATACGCTAACGGATGTGTCAACTGAGACCTTTATCTCTCGTTCTGCGTATGAAAACTGGAACCTTTTTACATACGGTAGCATTGTAAATGGATGCATTGCAACCATAAATAATTTATTATCTAAATTTTATAAATGGTGTGGTTTTAGATTATTTGTACATTTTTGTGCAATTTTATTTTACAATAGAAAAATATTGAAAAATTGATCTTTAAGACCGATCGATTTAATTACAAGATGATTGTTACCGTTCTAATTATCGTGATCATTAAATGTGTATTAATCATAGATTGTGAGAAATAAAAAAACTAGCATTTTTCATCAAAGATGTATCTCAAATATCATACGTGTTAAATATAAATAAATATATCGTGCAATAATACAGTTAACACTCAAAAAAATAATAAATTTCAAGTAAAAAATAAGCACGAAAAATCGGATTGTCTCAAACGAGTTTGTAAACAGCTATTAGGATTTTATATCACGGATTGAATTTAAACTGACAATGCTAAGTATAATTTGCAGACATAAAAACAACTTTATTTAAAGCAGCCGACGGTAAAGCGATCAATACATTGTGTAGCAAGGTTTAACAATGGCTTTAGAAATATAACGCCTTTATCTTCACCCTTTGTGAAGTTAGCATCCCATTTCTAGGAATTCTATATAATTGATAGAGTTCTCTCACCAAACAATTATGGAGCTCCCGATATGTCTTAAAAAAACTTCGGACGATTGAATGCAAAAAACAGTACTTAGTCCGAAGATGTGCCAACTTCACACTTTTCCAAGTATATAATACATTGTATGAAATAAATGACTATGGTATCTCTCTTTTAATAAATTTTAAAACTTTTCATAAATCAAGAAGCTTCTTTTCAGAAATCTGATTTTCTTAGAATCCTGATTAAAATAGAAAAGTTATCATCAATTTTCGTGTTACGAAACCGTGAAGCTGACATCTCATATCTTCGCCCCCTTATATTGTTTACATCTAAAAACTTTTTAAAACGATTAATAATGAAAAATCTAAAGTTTCATTCGCGTAATTTAATTTAAAAAAACGTACAATATCATAAATAAAAACAACATATTCGCTTCCGGACATTATAATGGTATAGTCCAATGTAATGTTTTCTGAATATAAAACAGCGACAACTTCGGGAACCTTTTTGTTCGAACCACGTCCAACGGGCTTAAAGTTGCCTATCTTTACAGTGGCTCCCTAATGGCTTGCTTTGCGTCTTTAACGACCTGTTTAATGACCGTAGGTTCCTAACGAACGTTTTTACTGCCTACAACGCCTTTCCTTTCAGATGTTAAACATATACCAAGCGCCAATATCTATATACACGTCCCCGCGCCATCGAGTTTACTTCTCGATGAAAGGAGCTCGAAAACAATCGGGGGATCCGCTGCCAAACGCGCGTGGCGCTCTGGAGGAGTGAGGCGGACTCTCCTGATCGAACATTCCGACGTATTTGAAAGAGTGCGAGAGCACGGGCACACGGCTCCGTTCCGCTCGCGTTACAACGAAGGTCCTTTACGCCTCTTTACCCGTCAGCGAGCTCTCACGCTTGCCCCCTCTCCCTCCCCCCCCCCGACCACCTCGAGACAACCCTCTTTGCCGCCGCCGCCGCCACCACCGAGCGCCCGCGCGCCCCTTCCAACCCCTTCCACTTCGGCAACCTTATCCATGGTCTTTCAGCCGTACTACCCCACCCCTCGCGATCAATGCTCGTGAAAAGGTGGGCGCGCGCTCGCGCTCGCGCCCTCTGCGTATGCCGTCGCCTCCCCCCCTCCCTGTATTTCCTCCTCTCTCCCTCTCTCTCTCTCTCTCCCCCCCTCTCCCTCCCACTTTTTCTGGCCTCTCTCTCTCTGTTTTTCTTGACGGATTACTCCGTTCCTTTCCGTCTCCCTCGTGCTGTTGCACCGATTCGCGCGCGGCTGGCTGGCGCTAAAATGCCCGAGACTCGACGGGGGCACTCGGAACGCGACACCCTGACCCGATTGAACCGACGGACCCAACCACCTTCCGTTCATCCGGTATTGATATCGGTCGATCGGGATCAGTGGGAATCGCGACCCACACCTCGCGGGGAGAATCCTAGGAATGAGAGTTACCGAGCCGTTACCCGTTACCGAGCGCGCGGTCGACTCTATCGATCGACTTCGCGGTCTCGTCGAGAGCGCCCGCTTGAAATTTTAAAGACCCCCGACAACCTCGCGAGAGGACTGTTTGCTTTCTTTTGTTTTTTTTTTCTTCCGACAGGCCGCGGGGTCGCGACTGATCGACCGGACGAATCGCGGGGACGCGAAGCCCCATCTCTAATCCCGTAGAGACGGATATGGAAAGACGGAGAGTCTCCGGGATTGCGCAAGTATATTAACTCGAGGCGCGACTTCGTACGCTCGCTCCTCTCGGAAAGCTCGTGCGCATCCTCCGGCGTGGGCAAGATCGGGAGATACGTATACTCTCTCCCCGTGGGGATATATCTGGAGGAGCTCATCGTCATTCTCTCTCCCTTTTCCTTTTCTCACCGTACATTTTTGTCATTTACGTACATGAGAATATATATAGATCGTATCGTAAATTGCAATTGTTCGTGGCGCTCGCGGGGGGGAAAGAGGGAAGCGCTCTTTCGTCTCCCGGAGAAACGTAACGAGCGCTTCCCTCTTTCTCGGCGATCTGTCAACGGTTCTGACTTCTGATTGACGTACAGTGACAGTAACCTTTAGCGTGATCTTACCTTCGCAGATGTACCCCTGCTGTATGAGGCCCCAGAGCATGTCCGTGCAGCTATGGCAGTACGTCGGCTTGTGAAAGGTTTTCTTACTGAAGCTGTGCCCATGGCTGGCTGGAGTCTCGGCCGAGACCGACGCCATATTCCCCGTTCCACCGCGGAACCGTTCACGCCAGATTTTCACCGTGAAGCTACGCAGGGCGCGCCGCGCGACGATGATGACAACATACGTACACGCCCGACACTACGTGATCTCGGAACCGTACGCGTACATAACTGCGTTGCTGCGGTGATGGTAGGAGTAGTAGTAGTACGCGTCGTCGCTGGCCGCACGCTGGCCCACACGCACCGTCGTACCGTCGTCGTCTCGTACGAGTCGTACGGCGCCTCGTCGTAACGTCGTCGTCGCGCCTAACACGCATTATTCCACGAGCCGCGCCACGGAACGACCGACGCGTCGGCAGCCACGATCGCGCGCGCCAGATGCGTCGTCCTCGTCGTCGCCGTAATAACGCGCCACCACGCCACCACCGCGCGCCACTACTCCGATCTCGCGGCCGCCGCCGTGCATCACCGTCGTCGTCGCTGCTGCCACTGACGCTGCCCTCGTACTCGTCGTCGCCGGGAGTCTCGGTCTCGCTCGCCCTCGCCCTCGCCTCGCTCGCGCTCGCGATACGATGCGTGCGATGTCGCGTACGCGCATCCGACGAGTCGCCTCTGCCGCTGCCTCTGCCGCTGCTGCCACTGCCACTGCTGATCCGAGCGTACGCCGCCGTGTGGCCGCACTGACATCAGCCCCTTTTCGTCACCGCCACCGGCCAGTGGCGGATGCGCTGCCCTAGCGGCCTAAGTGGGGCGTCATATGGGGGCCGAGCCGAGCGAGCGAGCGAGATGCGAACCGCCCTCTTCCGAGCCCGTAGCCTCGAGGGCGCGCTCCACTCTCTCTCTCTCTCTCTCTCTCACCCCCGTTTTTCCGATTTACCCTCGACGGATCGTTCCCATGTTCGAGCGCGTTCTCCCTTCCCGCGAATTCCGCGGATTCCGAGTCGCGCGATCGACGGATTTACTCCACGTGCAGGGGAGCGAATGCTCCGCGACTCGAGAGATACGAAGCAGTGGAGAACGGAGCGCGGGTCCGAAATGAACGTTTCAAACGGGGACGAAGGACGGAGGCCTCGTTCCTCGTTCTCCAGCACTGTCGATGGCGACGGAAGTGGAGCGCGCGTATATCTCTCCCCGTCGTTTCTCGGTCCCTCGCAAATGCAACCTCTCGCCGTCTATTTCCGATCGGTCTCTCCTCCCTCCCTCTCTCTCGCCCGAGACTTGTGTTTCAATAATATCATCGTGAACCGAGAGCCGAGCGTCCGCGACGCTCTACGTCGCCTCGAACAACGACGACGGCGCGGCGCCGATACGTCGCTCACGCGACAAGCACGAGCTCGCCTCTCTCCACGCGCGGATCTAATAAGATCACCACCCTCTTATCGATCCTCGCACCGAAACTTTGGATTCGATCGAACGTCGATCCGCGCGATTGATCGCTTCGATCAATCTTCGACAAGCAACCCTCTCTTTTCCATCGAAAAAGAAACTCTCGCCACCGTACGCGCGAACCAGCAACGACGATCGCGACAACGCGCGCGGACGAACGGTTCAAGCACGGGCGATCCAGCGATCGCGACAATGGATCGGGATGACGAGCCGACGTCGACGACAGTACAACGACGGCGATGGCGTCGACGTCAGTGACGACGGAGGCCGACGCGCGACGTCGTTTACCGCGGCGCGCCGACGCGGCTCTCCGCCGGACTTCCTCTACCATATGCACGCGCGCGACGCGACGCGCCTCGTGTCACGCAATCCGCCGCCGCGCGCCCGATTGTGTGCATGCGATTGTGGACTCCACCGCGAGTCGCGACTCCGCGAGCAATAGCGCCGAGAGATCTTCTTCCCCCCTCGCCTCCCTCGCGAAATCCACCGTCCACCTCGCTCGCGATTTGCGGCCGCGTTCGTTACTCGCGAACGAGCCCGCGCGCGCGGTACCGGATGCCCTCCCCCCCTCCGCCGACTCTTCCTGAGCGCGCGATCCGATCTTGGGAGCGCGCACGCGCGTGCAGCCGTGAATAAGGACGGCAAAAGGCGGCGGAACAGAAAGCGGCAGCGCGTTCCATTTAATCGTCGCCTCTCGATAATGAATGCTGCCTATTATCGTCGCGACGCCCGTCGTCGCATTGTACGTCGCGCGCGCGCGCGCGCCCGCGTTTGCTCTCACGCTCTCGTGTTTGCGATGTATACACGGGATATACACGATCGCACACTCGCCCTCGCACACGCACACGGCCACAATGAGCCGCGTGAATCGGAGTAGTTGCGGACGCCTCTCGCGCGGGATTTTTCAATAACGGAAGCACGAGGGGGTGGCACGCATTTTCACATCCCTGTCACGTCCGTTGTATTCATTAAACCGTCTGCTGCACATGCCTACATTGACGGACATTATAAAGTTATATCTCTCTCCGCGCTTTCTCCCTCTCTCCCTCCCGCCCCCGTATCTTTCTCGCACCTTCTCTCTCTCTCTCGTTCTCTCTCTCTTTCTCCTTTTCTCTATTGTGCGATTCAAACGTGAATGAAACAGGTTTAAATTTCAATGCGGCAGAGAGAAGCACGCTAAATGCATCAGCTGCCGTTATTACAAAACTACTGTTATAATCATATGCACGTTTCTAAATGGTGCGTTAGGAATATATCGTTGAATTCGATGACAGTTTCAGCGTTAAAGCGTCAAAAGTTTAAGAAAGCCATGATCGGTAGCGGGTTTTCCATTTTTCGCCTTTCAACTTCGCCGCGTCTATATATATGCGAGAATTTCGCGGGGAAATGGATTTCTTTCGTACGGCACAAAGCTGCGATAAAGCACAATACAATGCAATTGCATTATCCTTTAACATAAAATAAATAAATATTAAGCTTAAAATTACGGTCTCCGAGTCGTCTAATTAATTTGCTAACCGTCTAACATTCATATGCGAGGCAATTAATGGATCGATCGTTGCTTAAAGATAACGCGGATATTAATATTCCGTGCTAATGTCGTTCAAATGCGAAAAATGTTCGTAAATCCTAATCGCAATCTTCTCTTCTCTCTTTGCTGCCAAAAGATCGTTGCTTTTCCGAAGATTCTCTTACTTGAGATAGCTACGAAATTATTCGGTGCAGTAATAACGTAGATATAAATCGTCTGTTTTTATTTTTTATGTGCTTTATTTTTGGACGGAGCACAAAGCATCGTCTTTTGTCAATGCAACATTTGGTCTCTTAACGTAATACATATTTCATTCTTAACATCGATAGAGCCTTATCCTACAGTCCGATCGTTTCGTCAAACATCAGTACCATCAGAGCGGTAGCAACAAAGAGATAAACTTATCAAACTATTTTGATTCGTTTGCGACAAAGTATGTACACTAACGCTGCTTTCTATAACTCGAAAATTTAACGTAATGTAAAACGCGACGTTCACGACCGCGTCTGCGTGTCGCGGACCGATCGTGCGTCGTTGCAAGGTGCAAGGATAAAAATGTTACGTGCCTTGTTAGTTCGATCTAAACGTATATTAAGATCCTTTGCTTAATAAAGTACGCATAAGAATACTTGGACGACTAAAATAAAGTGGAAGAAATGCCATTACGCAGATACGCGAAATATAACGTTTAGTCGAGTTGTAAAAGACGGAGATATAATGTATAAGTATAAATCTCCCGCTCTCTCTCCCTCTCTCTCTCTCTCTTTCTTTTATAGTAGATATATCGTGTAACAATATCATCCCGCTTTTAAACTTTTAAAGCTTTATAATTTTTCAAGCGATATTTATATGTAACAAAAAGGCTGTTTAGATATGGAAAATCGAACAAAGAGCGTGTATATATATATGTATATTTTATACTCTTCTAAATCTTTAAAGAGAAGTAACTGCGTGCGTTGAACACTTGAAACGAGCACGCTGTTTATTGGACACGAATACCTTCTGGGAATGCGAATCGGATTCGATTACATCCATTATTATTTAGATATGTGTGTAAAACGCGCGTGTATATATCATATCGTAACGTATAAATGTTACAAGCGAACATTTAGGAATGTACTTAACTTATTGTCTGATCTTTAATATGGAAGTACAAATCGAGATTTCTAATACACGTTGGTATATACTTCGATTGCACGTTTCAACGGTGTACACTTATGTAACAAAATATCTCGATACATTTCAACAACTGCATTGGACACGAAAATCGATAACTTTTACATTTCGCTACGCTATACGTACGCACGCTTTTAAGCTTCATAAAAATACACGGTACGCGATGTAACTCTTCAACAAAGATGCAGAGGCATGTATATATGTATTTATTAGTCGCGTTAAACGTTCCTAATCCTACTGCCAAGAAACTAAATTTAAATTCAATTTTTGTCGCCTAAATGCGATCATCATGGTAGGAGATAAATCCCAAAATAATATTAAAATATACTTTAACTCTTAACTGTGCTGTGATATTTACTACTCAATCAGGAAAGTAACATATACGTAAAATAAACAAAATAGGATGTATTTCAGTCATCGGCCGGATCATCGGCCTAACATGTAAATTTTTGAGATATTAGATATTAGATATTTTTATTTAAAAAATCTATAGTTATTAAAGTGTAGATTAATATATTATACGAAACGCGATAATAAAACAAATAAAATAAAATATTAATATAATAATGTTTATAAGTAATGGCAGAATGAGACGTGTGAAAGAAAAATAATGGATTCAGGATCAAATAAATTAAAATTCATGCTCAAATGGATCTAGCACGTTTTGTATTCGAACTGCGCTACTTTCCATTTTATTCATAACCGCCTGTTTAATGATAGAGACTAAAACATTGATGAGAGTGAAAAAATTACAAAAAAACGATAGTAGCTCTTAAAATACGAATTTTAAGAACGAATATCAGTTAAGAGTTAAAGATAACTATATTATTATAATTATTCTAAAAAGATACTAATACTGCCTAACTAGTCTGGATTAGAGACCCTATAATAAGAGATTGGCCATAAGGCCAGTTTTGTCAAACTCCTGCCAGAGAGAAGGATATACATTCATATCGCTTTCTCTTTCTCTCTTAGATATATCTCTTTCTCTTGGTTTTGACAAAACTGGCGGACCAATCAAAACTGGCTATCTTATGGCCAGTCTCTTATTATATCGAGTCCCTAGTCTGGATCTATTTGAAGAAAAATCGGTAGTAAAGATGTAGTTTTTATGTTCGATTTTTTTTTAACGAAACTTCAAGTAGCAGTCTAACTATACTGATTTCATAAACTTCTAATTTAATAATTTGCTAATGCGGCAGAATGACATGGACATGATGGCGTCAAAACATTTTTGCACATCTCTTTCAATTTTTTCTTCAAGAATAAGTGTCATGAGACACATTATTGCATGACAAACGATAATAATCCAAAAAGCTATTTCGAGCTTGTACATTTTATTTTTAAATGCATTAAATAATTTCTCTGCACTAGAATCTGCCCGTATATCCACATCAATTAGTTGTGCTAATTGTGAATGAACTTCTAATGTCTCGGGATTGACATATCAAACATGAAACCCATTTTTTCATTCGAAATATCTGATTTCATCAATAAAAACAGAAAACTTTGTGTTTTTAAGTTCTTCTACTACATGATTCGTTTCTACAGGACATAAACGTATATCAACATGGCATTTTAATATTATCTTTTTAGTTCCTAATTATAATTACTAATTAATCTTGATCAAATGGAACATTCAATAATAAAGGACCTTGATAAATTTCGCGTCAAAGAATACATATTTACTACCAATCTTCCTCTTAGACTCAGTCTGTATACTTAACATTCCAATCAGAGAACATCCTTATTATTATTATAGATTATAATAATCTTGCTAACAATTGAAAACGTGCAGACACTTATTATTGTATATCCATATTCAGGATCAGAGAAAGATCCGGAATGTCATTGATGATATATTATATAATACAGAATATGATATTTAATTAACAATACATCACATCTCATTGTCAGACTGAATGATTGTATATAAATAACTTGTGTTTCAAACTTGATGTGTAAACGCTATATTTCATTCTGTAGGTACTCACTTCATAGAATTTCCGTAAAAAAAATTTTTTTTAATTAATCTACAAAATCATATTTCTCGATTTTTCGCACCATGTAAAAAATTTTTTTACTATCGCTCTCATGCGTAATTTTTTAATATTCTGTCACTTCTTCATTCAATAAACAGATCACAAAGTCAAGAAATTTTTTTATTGCATGGCTTTGCTTTAAACGAGATAAAATGTATGTTAAATAAACGGCGTGTTTATATATATTAAAACACACCTGATTGCCATTTGTCATTCTGTCTTTTGTCAATTCAACAGAATTGTATAAATATATACTGGCAAAACATGCAATATACTTTATTTAAAGCTAAAGAACGTCCTAAAAAAGTTGGAATGAAAAAAGTTGGAACTTCTGATTTATACTTTTGACCGTATCATTAAAATAATAAATGTGATAATTGTGGAAATATGTCTGCACGCCAAAAAATATTCATATATCTTTTTTTCTTTTTCTTTTCTAATTTTTAAAGTTCAAATAATGACATGGGGATTTGCGTTAATGGAAACGTGGAATGGTAAAACATAGTCGTGTGTAGAATGTAAACTTACAAAAAAGCACGCATATTGTTTTAAAGAATATTATCCCAATCCGTGATCTTCGAAGAATCCCTGGGGAGTCTCCTCCTGCAACACACACAAGAGAACAAGTCTATCAATGCCGTATTCAAAATGCCTTACAATAATATGAACAGGGATCAATTACTTTGACGCTGCACTTTATAAACACATTACGAAAAATAGAATGAAAAAATATATATATAAGCGTACACGTACCTACTTCATAATAAAATTCCCTTCTTGATGCAGCTTCAAATGGTGAACTGAACCCTTTTCATATAACCGAGTAACTTTTACTTGTCTGGCTACACAAAGCGCATGTTCATGTGTCATTGCCTCGATTGAAATCTTAAGCGCCAATAAAAATTGCTTTGTTTTTACATGCAACATGTCGAATTGTGGAGATCCCATCCACCAGATGGGATCAGAGTGAAAGCGATTCGGCTCAATATGCTCACACCGCGCGACAGCTTATAATAGAAAATATCCAGCTAACACATTATTTCGTTGCCTTTGCGAATCTCTTGTATATTATTTACTAATAAACTAATTTTCAACAAACACCTGAGGACTAACGTAAATGATCGATCTAACGTAGACTAGGTATTATGCACGTTAATTTTCAATTACAATATAAAAAGATTTCGTATGATATATTTATTACTAGTACACTTAATGTATAACATTAAAAATTGACGCTTATATTGATGCTTATATAATATGCATATGCACATATATAATATATAAAGAGTATTAAGAAATATATAAGTTTCCAATTATTTATATAATTAAAGTAGGTTCCTTTTTGTTCTTTTAAGTAGATACATAGATGCGTAAGAGGTGTACGTTCTATGCAAGTAATCACATTAATACTGACGCTTTTCAGTAGTACATATACAACGCTTTCATAAAAATAACTTACGAATACAGATAATTTTATTGCCATAGTTGAAGATTAAAGTACGTAGGGTAACTATATATATCACTTATTCGTTAATACGTATGTTAAAAGTGATAATTAAGATTTGAGAACCGTAGTTCAGCCCTCAGCCTTTGGTTAGTAACATAACAATTTATTCTATATGTGCAAGAGAGAATTTTTCTCGATATATAAAAATATATATTAACATATACAGAGAATGCTCCAGGCATCGTGCACTTTCTGTCAATTTTTTGTCGGTAGTTATTAAGACACTAAAAAGAATATTTTTAACAAAGCACCAAAGTTTTCGAATTACAAGCAAACAATCGATTTTTCGTGAATCATTTTCAAGTTTTTATATATAAAAAAAAATTTAATAATTAAAAAATTTTATTTTCTTTAACTTAAATAAACAGTACCTCTTGACAAAATTTTCAATTGCCATGATATATTCAATCCAAAATAAAAAAAAATATAAAAAATTGATTTTTTACTATTTTTATCTATTCATATTCCATCGAGTTTTCGTCACCGAAGAAAGAAAACACACGACGCCTCAAACATCTTGTATATGACTAGTAAAGTTGACTCGAAAATTTATGTTTTTATATAGTAGAGTCGTAATGGCATCATGCAGCGGGTAAGCCTTTTCTTGTTTTTCGGTCGATCGTGTGGGTCGATACTCTGTCCATGAAGCTCATGCAAACAATAGGGTACCTATAAAAGCCCTACATCCCGCAGAGCACCTTCCACAGCTTCGTCCTTCCACAACAAACAAAGAAAAACTAACTAGTCTTCGCTAAACTTCTACTTCGTCCCTATCTACCATGAGTTTTTACACACATGATATTATACCGTGTAATATATTATCAACATTTAAAACATTATATTATTAGTTCTCTACGTACAAAAGTCCCATAATATTCTCTCTAAGCCACATAAAAATTATTTTACAATATTTTCTCAAACTTCAAGAGTGTTATCGTAAATGTAATAAAAATAATATTCCGTTAATAATGATCCATCATCATTTTTGTCTTATTTTGTTTAGAGAAAATTACACGTATAAAATAATTTTTCTGGACAGATACAATAAGTCGCTAATTATCATTATAATCAAATTCATTCAATTACGATAACAATCAAATTTTACAATTTCTACTTGTAACATTTTTCCCAGAAATCAAATATTTTGAAAAATACTTTAATTAATTAATGTGCCATACTTCAAATGCCTTATCCCGTGTAAGATAGTTGATAATATTATTAATAAAATTGCGTAAAATTCTTGAAATTCGTTATTTCGTGAAAAGTAAAACTAAGTGAGACATTACTTAGAAAACAAAATATACGAGACAAATGTTACAAAATGAATACAATTGTTGAAAAATATTTATTACTTTGAAGGCATACATATACACATATCAACATTCTATTTATATAAATAGCAACATATATACGTAATAATACACTTCTCATTTATCCTAGTTCTAGTGCTGTTTCACTATCATAATCTATGAAATAACTGATTAATCTAGATCTGAGTACTAAGTTCGTAAGATATTATTATGGCAATAATACGTCAACACGTTTCTTTACCTTTATTAAAAACGATACAGGTGCATAAATCATTGCATTGATGCCATGCTTTCGTACGGATCTGATAAACATATACTCGTATGGCAATTAATAGCAGGTTGCAGATTAGCTCGTCTGATTTTAACCGCTCAGTTTCTGATGATAGTCGATATGCCCAGCAATATCTTTCCCTTTAACGCATCCACATTTTTTATACTTCCTACCTCCACGTTTCTACCAGGCACAATGACTGTCATCTGATACCTGAACGAGTTGCTTAAAAGCAAATCCGCAATCTAATTATTAGTAACATTTTTTTATTCGGTTTTAGAATATTTCATCATTCTGTCAACATCACATGCACATTGGTTTATTTTAAACCAATACATATATAAATCAATTAACTCAAACGCAATTTTAAAAATAAATTATGCAATACAATGAAATATTTTACAGGTTTTTACAGGTTTCCTAGAAATTTCTATTACATCTACTAATTTCATCTACAGAAAGTATGTTACAAAGAATAATATGAAATAATATGAATTATATCGATATACGATTATATATAGGTGCTCGACAAATTATGCTCGGTTTTTTTTAATCATTTGTAAATACGTATTATTCATAAATATAATACTTTAGTTTAATTAACATTTTCCAGAGTTACTTGAGTTTTACACTTTAAAAGTGTAACAATGCTTTTCATTATAACTTATTAATCATTAATAAAAATGATGTGATATGGTTTTTAAATACAAAGCAAAAGAATGTCTTAGCAATGTATCAAATTTTTGAAATATTAATATTCAAGCTCGAATGTAGTATATACATATAGAATAATATAATTCATAAAGACAAAAATAAATTTTCTCTATAAATTTATTTCGCAAACTGAACAAATATAATTTAAAATTTTTTTAAATTAGAAAAGTTTATGTATGTATAGCATTATATTTATCATGTCTATTTTTCGTAAAATAATTTTTTATTAAAAAAAGCTAGTAACAGACTAGAATGAATAATTATACTCAACATTACTCTTATCAAATCATTTAAATGGCATGTGTACTGAAAACAATATACATATATGTTATTAATACACAATTAATTGAACTATTCAGATGGCAGAATGAATGAAATAACAGTGAGAAGTATCTCTCACTCATTACTGCTGTTTAAAAATTTCGACTAATGTTCACATCTTAAATAAAATTTAAATTATCTTCGCTTCAATTTTTATTTTATACATTTTAGCAATTTTCTTTTGCAGTAATGTACTTTACATAAAATCTCTGTATGAGACTTTAAACTCATTAGTGCACACCTGAGCACAAAAATACATACAGAATATTTTCATAGCACGTAGGTTGAAAAAATTTAGTATATGATCTCTCTTTTAAATAAATAAAATTAACTGCAAACTACTTTCTGCATTGTATATATATTATGTAAAATACCTCGAGTTCGATAAAAAAATCTGTTATCTTTCAGTAGATATTAAAAATACTTTCTTTTGTACTACCCTGTTTTAAATTACAGTCATCAAAATTACAGTTATCAAAAACCTAAAGGCGACCAACGTTTCTTATATATTTAGAAGAAATAATATAAACTTCAAAAAATATTTTTTTCTGTTATATAAATTACGCAACAATATTATCAAATAGTATTGCCTATATAAATGCTGTTGCACAGATTATACTTAATGTTGTCAATAATTAAAATGTTAACAATAAAGTA